AGAACATGGGGTAGACTTGCACTTTATAAACTAATCAAAGTATGTGTGTGTATTAGGGCTGTGCAAAACAGGCCATATTCAATTTGGATTCAGATTTGGCCCAAATTGGGGACAGTGATTTGATTTGTTGATTCAGATCACTGTCCCAGATTTGATTTGGCTGAATCTGAAGATTCAATGCTGATTTGAAGAATCAGCAATTCAGCCATAGAGACAGCTTTAAATGTTTTTTCTACATACCTCAAGGTACCAGGCTTGGGTTGTGAACACTGAGATGCTGGGACGAATGGAGCATCCCACAGGAGTGCAGGGGGCCTGCCCTGCATGCTTGGTGGTGAACCCAGAAGTGGACTGGAAGTAATTCTGGTCCACTTCTGGGTCCACTGGGAAGCACGTGGCCCCCACTGTGGCCCCCTGGGTTGGCGATCAACCACAGGGGGACCCCGTGTGCCCTCCCAGACCCAGGAGGCACCAGTCACTGAGCTCAAGGGGCATGTGGAACCCCCCGCACGCTCCCCGGCAGACCCAGAAGTGGACCGGAAGTGCTTCTAGTCCACTTCTGGGCCTGCTGCCAAGTGCACTGGGGAGCCCCCGCACTCCTGTGGGATGCTTCATCCACCCCAGCATCATAGCATTGATGAGCCACCTGGTACCTTGAGGTATGTAGAAAAAAACATTTAAAGGTGTGTCTATGTCTGAATCACCGAATCTCTCCAAATCGATTTGGAGGGTTTCAATTTGTTTTGAAGAGATCATAGGGTCTCCTGATTCAATTTGGATTTGGATATTCAGCCACTGAATTGGGCTGAATCTCTGCCGAATTGAATCAGGGACTGAAGCTTCGCACAGCCCTAGTGTATATACAGACGAACGTAACTATGTCTGTCTACATGTGAATTCTACTCATGGAGCAAGAGGGAATGGCTTGAAGGAGAAGGCATTGTGCCAGATTTCTACCCCCACTCCTAGATGCACCGAGGCTTCTGCAGTTGTTTCTTTTCTGTGTTTTGGATTGTGTTTTTACATGTTACTTGTTACAGAAACTTTGTCTGGTCTATGGTATTCAACATTTGACATTTCTGTGTAAACTGTTTAATGCATCTGCTAATGGAGAATGCAAGGTCCATCCTACTAATTAGAGGGCCTTAGTTTATGTTAAGGAACAGTTTAATGGATCTTCTTGGACAAATTTGAAAGTAATTATACCTTTAGTGTACTTGCTGCTCTCATTTACCATTTGCCAGTTAATTAAGAGCTGGGACTGCTGATACACGCTCAGATTTCCAGACTGTTCCACTGTGGCTACGAAAGCTGTTTTTAGCCTGTCACGGGGCGGGTTCCTAGGAGCGGCCGTGATCTCTCCTAGCGCCTCCTACTGTGCCAAGTTGGTGTCAATGCACCCTTGTTCTCGCCCGCCACATCTTTGATGTTAAGAGTATTAAGGGAGGCTGCCTTTTGTCCTCCTTGACATGGTACCCCTGACATACTGCAGTCTGTGCCCCGTCGAAGGTGACTCTGTGCACTCATGCCTTAAGAGCTACGCATGGCTCCTACCACCCCTGATACCACGCCCCAAGCCTCGCGGATGTACCGGACGTTGTCTAGTCAAAATCCTATCTGTGCCCTCGTGAGCAGCCCTGGTTCCTCACGGATTCCCTGGGGCTTCTTGCCTGTGCGCCCTCCCTGGGGCTCTGCCTGCACTGGGGCCTATCTACACAATTGGGGCTCAGGTGGCCATAGCCGTGCCTGGCCCCTAAATCCCCTCCACGGATCTACAATTCCTGTGGGCTCAGGCGGCCTCGGCCTTACCTGGCCCCCAATCCACTGTGCCCCTCCGCAGGGCTGGGGTCAGTGGCCCCTTAATGCTGTGCCCTCTCTGGCACCAGGGTTCCCACACCACTGTGAGCTACAATGAGGCCTCCTCCGACCCCTATTAGCTTCACCCGGTCCTCCGGTTTAACAACAAACAACAGAAGGTAATAACATGAGCCAATAGGCTACAACTCAAAGCTAAGCCTCCTGGCTAAAACGTAAACTCTAAGCCACCAGGCAATTTATCATCCCAAATCCCTACCAGAGCTTCCTCCACCTGGTCTCCTCACACGGAAGCTGTTCAGGCCATCGGGCTTCTCTACTCTGCTTGCTCCAACAGAGCTCTGATTTCCTCAGCTGCCAGAGGGGAACTGCCTCTGGTCTCAGCCTGGCTTGTTTATATAGGCCAGGCCCTGCCCCCTTCTGGTCAGCTGACCAAACTGCGGTTGCCCTGGCAACCGGCACCTGTCCCTCTTTCTAGGAGCAGGGAACTTCAGTGTCCTGCGACATAGCCTTTGCTAGTTTAATGTTATGAGAGAGCAATCTAGTAAATATCGAGGCTGCTTGCAGACATTAAAAAGACAAAACAAAAACCCTGTGCTTTACTGCATGTTACTTCGATCCAGCTCTGCAGCATCTCTAAAGGTTGGCTGCTTCAGTGGGACTTTTTGGTGCTTTAAGCTAAAGTTGAGTCAATCAGCTATTAGATAAAAGCACCAAAAAAGCCACACTAAAGTGCCCAATCTTTACAGGTGTTGGGTGAGCTGGGTTAAAGTAACACACTGCCTATTTTGGGCACGTGCGGGGCTGGGCGCAGGAGCACACCAAATTTAAAGTGCCGTTTTCTGGTGTGTTTCTTTTTTAAAGTCTGCAAGCATGCCAAGTGATTTAGGAGTCTGTAAAAAGCCACCAAAACTCAAGCTCCTAAGTCATTTAGGGCTAGCTCCCAATGAAGACTTAAGTGCCTAAAATAGACAAAATCAATCAATCAATCAATCAATCACTCAAGTTGTGCCTAAAATCACTAGGTGCCTTCTTTTTTAACCTCAAAGTTTCCAAAATAGCTGAAGTTCTACTTCTGTATGCGCATAGAACTGCCTCAGTACCTCCTGGGTACCTGACTCCTGCCTAAGCTGAAAGTAATGTGATCCAGTAAGGTGAAGTGGACTGGCCCAAATCCCCTGAGAGACCTGCTACAGTTGGCATTTTCAGAGAAGTCCTGACAGACACCAGTGGGACTGGGCCCCCTTGTGAAAGGCAGTTGTAGCTTTTTTTTTGTGAACTTCAAGTTAGAAGGAGGAGGTAATGGTAGCATCTACCTTTCACATAGAATGCTATCAGTTAAAGCACTCACCTAGAGAGTGGAGAACCAGGGTCAATGTCCTCCTCAGCCTGAGGGTGTTCAAACACACATCTCTCATCTTTTTGGAGAGTCCCCTAACCACCAGCCTAGAAGCTAGAGTGGATACGAAACTCTCCACCCATCCTGTAGAAAGTGGCCACTATGCAGCAAGGGTGACCAAAGTCATGGGACCAGAAAGGGTAAGATGGACCATGACTTCATAACCTGATAATTAAGTCACTCAGCTGGGTGGAGTCCTTGATTCTGATCCTATCATTGTTTCTGTATTTTATCTAACATAAAACTCAAGAACCATGATTGAGAAACAAGCCTAAGCTTCCTAACTCCAAGTTCACCACATTAACCATAAAATAACCCGCTATTATTAACAAGGGCAAGATGAAAGAATAATGTAAAAGCAGAATCCCTAAAAGTTTTCTCTGAAAAATCAGAATGATCATACATAAATTATGTGAGAGAAATGAGAAACACTGGGTGTGTCTACACACGTGCTGGACTGCTTAAGCAAGTATGAAATGACTGCACAGTAATCGACATTACTGCACAGGCTAGACATCACACAGGTCTTTTCCAATGCTACTGTGCAGTAGCATCAGCATCACGGTTCATGCCAACTGATGCTACATTGCTACAGCAACAAGCTATGGCAACATAGCTTATTGCTATGGTGATGTAGCATCTCATACAGATGTGCCCACTGGGTAAAGCATTTTATTTAAAAAGACTGATTTAGTCATTGTCATTTCAAGTCAGGGTTTCTTACATTGTTGTTGTTTGTCCTTCACATTCAAAGATGACCGTGACATCACTGGTTTGTTTGGTTTCTGTAAGTGCGTGAGTAGCTGATCAGGCCCATTTGTGCTTTGAACTGTCTGTGGTACTGTGACTGCAGAAGGTCTACTGGGCACTCAACGCTTCAGTGCCTAAGGTGGATATTCCTGCTACTTGTCTTCCATGGCTTGATGGTTTTAAGAACAGTGTGGGAGGTTCCTCTGGAGATCAAATATCCTTTCACCCTCACACTGACTGGGTGCAATAGCAAGTGACTTGGGGCTCTGTCTCCCCTACACCCGTCCACTCGGCAATCAAAATACAGCTGTGGGATAAACCAGGATTGGAAGCTGCATGGTTATGACATAGTCTCTCACACCCCTACAGGTGTTAGAATAACTCTCCCTCTTCCCTAGATCAGTGGCTGGCATAACAAGCTAAAGCTTCTCTGCTTTTGCTGTCTCCTTTAAAGGTGAAAGTCTGTTACTACCAGCCCTTCTTGCTGGGTTTCCTTGGGTCATACTGGGTACTCTCTCCCAGGTCAACCCTATCTTTGTGTTCAATGAATTCTCCAAAAGAACAGAAGACTGAAACTCAAAGTACCCTGGTATCTGGCAATGCGACACATGAGGTCTTGGACTTACGTGTCTGACATCCTGCAGTGGGGCTCACTCCAGTGGTGGGTCCCACCAATCACCCTCAAGGGCTCTGCTGCCAGTTGCTCCTGACTCTCCCCCATGCCAGCTTGTGTGGGCTCCCCTGGCATCCTTTACAAGGTCTGGCGGGTCTGCAGAGAGCCACGTCACCCAGCGTGGTGACAGGCACACTGAGCAAAGGATGCCACTCTGGGTTGCTTGATCAACAGCAGACATGCTGCTGTTGTGAGATTTACACTGTTTGTGCTTCTGCTCTGCCTCAGCCGTTTTCCTCTGCTCATAGGATTTGTTATAGTAAATATTGAAATAACCTTCAGAATTCTGCCCTGTAATAGGTGCACAAAAAAAAAAAGAATTATTACCTTATTTTAGTTATCCTTGTTTTTTGTATCTTTCAGGGTTTCCTTTCAACCTGTTCCTGTTCCCTAACAATCACATTGCTCTTGAATTAAATAGATGGGATCTGAAATGAATCTAATAGGACATTCCCAGCTATCTGCTCCTGATGGGTTTTCACTTTCTGAAGGTCCTCATTTATTTGGTAAGTGATAGGATTAGCTTAAAACATGCCCATCCACATCTAATCCACACACATGTATATGTATTGTGTTCAGTAAAATGAAATGAATATATTGCATTTATCTGAATACAAGATGATGCTACCTATAAGATGATTCCCCAATAATTAGATTTTATATATGGAAAATGTATAAATTTGTCATAGTTGAGGTATAGTATTTAATTATTGGAGTTTTGCCTTGAATTTGTCCCCCATCCACTGCTACAGCAGGAAAAATAAATATGGGTGGTCAAGTAGCTGCTCTGTTCTCTGTCCCTCCAACATCTTCCTCCTGCAGCCCAGTCTCCCCCTCCTTACTGTCACTCTGCTCTCCCTGAGCACATGGAGGTGAGATACACATTTGAAAATACTTGAAATAAACATGCCTGTAGTAATTTAGTTCATCCAGTATTGATGCATTTTATCTTTTTTTGAAACTACTGCAAATTTTAGCACAGGTACTCCAAAAATACACTTTTAAGTAGAACTTTAGCACCTACTTACATATAGTATAAACTATACATGATATTAGTCTAAAGTAAAAAAGCTCATGATTTACCATATAGTTCATTGGGCTGGGCCCTAGCAGAGTCAACAGTATTTGAAGCCATAGTGACCCCACAGCTCAGAACTGCTCAGTAGGTATGTACATTATAGATATCACACCTAAAAGATCTATGTGCAAATTAGTCCCCCACTCATGACTGGAACTGGGTGTTTTTGTCATGAGTCCTGGGATTCTGCAAAAAGTTAAATGCAGATGAGGTACAGGGCAACCTAGTCTGGATCCACCTCATGGAGGGCAGGGCCACACTAATCAGGTGTGACAAGCTGAGAGAGGGGGTCACAAAGGGATTCTGGGTGAATTGTTTGGGGCTCCATTTGCTGATGTTTGTCAGAGATTTAAGGCTGATCAAGAAGCAGGAATAATGGGGAAGAATGGCACAGTTCAGCTGTGGGAGTGAAGAGGAAATAAAAATGTATTTAGTGTAGTGGCTCACCATGGCAAATCACCATGATTTTAAAAAAGACAACACTGAGGGGGACTAAGCACAATGGGCACTACCATGTATTTTATTCAGATGGGATGCCCTAACCTATCTTTGTTGTAGGTTGCCATCAGCCAGTGGGAAGATCTTAGCTTTATACCCACTTTATGGAAATGGGAGAATCCAGAGTGCTGAGAGAATTGGCAGAGGTCATTGTGGGACCCCTGGCACAGCTTTATGAGCACTCATGGTGCTCTGGCAAGGTGCCAAAGGCCTGGAAAAGGGCCAATGTGGTCCCCATTTTCAAAAAAGGGAGGAAAGAGGGCCCAGGAAACTATAGGCCCATTAGTCTTACCTTGGTCCTGGGGAAGCTCTTTGAGAAAATTATCCAGAAACACATCTGCAAGGGACCAGCAGGGGAGATTATGCTTAGGGGCAATCAACATGGGTTCATTAGAGGCAGGTTCTGTCAGACCAACCTGGTGGCCTTCTATGACCAGGTCACAAAAGCCTTGGACGCAGGTGTTGCGGTAGATGTAGTCTTTCTGGACTTTAAGAAGGCTTTTGGTACTGTCTCTCACCACATCCTCATTAAAAAATTAGGTGATTCTGGTGTCAACGCCTACACAGTCAGATGGGTCACAAATTGGCTGGAGGGCCGCTCCCAGAGAGGGGCGGTGGATGGGTCATTTTCGACCTGGAGGGACATGGGCAGTGGGGTTCCCCAGGGGTCGGTCCTCGGGCCTGCACTGTTCAATGTCTTCATTGGTGACTTGGATGAGGGAGTGAAAAGCATCTTGTTCAAGTTCGCAGATGACACTAAGATGTGGGGAGAAGTGAGCACACTAGAAGAGAGGGACAGGCTACAACTACACCTGGACAGGTTACAGAGGTGGGCAGATGAGAATAGGATGGGTTTCAATACTGACTAGCGCAAGGTGACCAGTGAGGTCCCTCAGGGCTCTGTCCTAGGGCCCTTATTTTTTAACATCTTCATCAATGATGTAGAACCTAGTGTCAGAAGGCCAAGTTCACTGACAACACCAAACTCTGGGGTAAAGCATCCACACCTGAGGACAGGAGGGTGATCCAGGTAGATCAAGACAGGCTCAGGAAATGGGCGGATGAAAACCTGATGGTGTTTAA